CTGATTTACTAGGCATTTTGATAAAGTTTGACATGCTGGTCTTCTCCATAAGCTTTCTTCTTACGGTGTGTCTAGTAACGTCTCTAAGATTATTGAATCCTTTCTTTCTAATTGCAGTATAAACGTTGTCCTCAATGAACAGCACTCTTCTTCATATTCTGTAACTTCAGAGATTCCTCAAGATTCAATCCTTGGCCCTACACTCTTTTTAATTTACATTAAAGATCTTCCAGATATTCTCACATCCAAGGTATACTACGGAAAATCAAAAACAATAGCTTTAAATGTGTTTAACCTTTTTGCTCTTTTTTTTTTTTTTTGCATCTGCCCATCTACTAGAGAATAAGTTCATGCTTGGTTTCAAGATCATGCTTTGTATTTAAGTATGGTAATGTTTTCACCAACTAAATTTGAAAGTTCTTGATTAGTGTGCTGTTTATTTCTAAAGAACTTATCACAAGTTCAACAAGTATCTTTTGATAGAAACCAAACCCAATATAAACTAATCATCATCATCATCATCATCATCATCATCATCATCATCATCATCATCATCATCATCATCATCATCATCATCATCATCATCATCATCATCATCATCATCATCATCATCATCATCATCATCATCATCATCATCATCATCATCATCATCATCATCATCATCATCATCATCATCATCATCATCATCATCATCATCAATATCTGTTTTCACTTATATCATTAACTATGCACAAATTTATCTAAAATATTGTTAAAAATTACTCTATTTCCTTCTTTATCAGTTGTGTAAGCATGCTTAAAAAGTTCAAACATTGTGAAGATATTCAGATAATTACTCCTTCTCACTATATATAAAATATTTATTTATAAATTTCATAAATAATAATTAACAAAATTATAAATTAAATTTTTAAGTAATTAACTAATCAGTTGTACTAACTGATTATTTTATGGAGTTCTAACTTTGGTAATTTCAAAAAAATAAATCATTTTATGGTTTATTACAAACCAATAAATCAAAAAATAATTGAGCTCCTAGCAATAACAACCCTAACACAAGAAGAATATGAAAAATTGTGTAAACAGGTTTATTTGCTTCCTCTTCTTGTCTGCATCTTTTAATTTTTTGAATTTTGAGCTAATTAAGTGCACTGATTATCTTTCAATCAATATTCATTAAAAAAATTTTCTTTGAGATTGCTTAATTTAACTTGTGGTTTTTAATAATCTATAATAAAATAAAAACCCATGTCGATTATAATAATGACATGATTTTGTTATATGGTTTTTGCTGGTTTTTTCATTGAGGTCTCTATTTCATCATCACCTCTCTTTCTCAACCAACACACATATTTACTATAGCATATATAGATATTCATTAGCCAATTTTTTTTTGTTTAATTTACTCAATACAGTACTTTAATAAAATGAAAAAAAAACTAAAAACAATATAAAAAAGACATAAATTTTGATTTACTTAAAAATATTGACCTACTTGAAAAGAATGAATATCAACTAATGCAAGTTCGTTTAACAACTTGAATGTAGAAGTAAGTAAAGTTATAGTATTTTCTGATAATGGAAATGGACTGGGCTGTATACGCGTTACACTTCCCTGATGCAGCAGCAGATACAGAAAACCAATCAAACCTTCAAAAAGCAAGGTTAGAATTAATGAAATAAAAATAGACAGGAGTTTAAAATTATTCAAAAAAACAAAACTAAAAGCTCCTTATCAAAAAAAACGAAAAACAACTCAAAGCTCCTTATCAAAGAAAAAACCAATAAAAATTTAAAATAAGTAATTAAAAAAATCTGAAATCTATTTGACATATACTTGGAATAAAGTTGAAACTTTAAATATTATACAGAAAATGTACAAGGACAACTTAAGCTTATATAAATGTGTGTGTGTGTGTGTATATGTGTGTGTGTGTATGTGTGTGTGTGTGTGTGTGTGTGTGTGTGTGTGTGTGTGTGTGTGTGTGTGTGTGTGTGTGTGTGTGTGTGTTATCAATAAATATGGATTTAGCAGCACAAAAAACATCAATGAAATAACTGTAAGGATTCAGTAGATACATCATTATTAATCAATGTTATGATTAATCATGTTTTATCAATATTTCAAACATAACTAATTAAAAAAAAATAAGTAACTAGTATTTATAAATAAGTTAGGGTAAAATTTCTCTCCCCCTCCCCCTAAATTTATGCAAACGATTTATATCATAGACTGTAGCAGCTGTAGATGCAGCAGTTTGTACATTAATAGATTAAAATCAACAAAAATGAAAAATCTATCCTAAAGAGAATATGGATTAACACAGTGAAATGCAGATATTTCAACTAAATTAAATAGGAATAGCTAAAGTGGAGTGTACATACTTGAATTAATGGTTTATGTTTGGTTAGGAACTCATTTAATCGAAAGAAATTTCAGATTTGAAGCTATTATATAAATTCAAAAATCATCTAAACGATTGCATAAAAAATCAGACATATAAACAGATGCATAACAAAAACCAATACCCTTTTACCTTGTAACAAATTATCACAAAATCATTATACCATCTTCCCCCCTCCCCCTACTTTTGGTTTGATTTTGTAGTGATAAAAATTTTTGGAACTTTTTTGAAAAATTTACGAGAAAATTATCTTAAACTATCCGGAAATTATGAAAAGCATTATTTAAAAATTGACTAAATTACACTTATTTTATTTAGAAAATTGTAACTAATAATAAAAATAATGCATCGAACGATAATAGTATTTGTTCTTTTCATCTCCATATCAGAAAATTCTACTTTTAATTCCAAACATTACCACAACATGTTCACTGATTGTAAAGCAACAACCGATGGTTGTTAATTAGTTTTGAAGAAAAATTACTTTTTCTACTAATTTCCTTATTAGTTTCTGTACTTTATTCCAAACTACATTCTTATCTTTTAATATGCTCATCTACAATTGATACATGTATTGAAATATATTATATAGGAAAAAGAGAACAAGCTAAATTTTAAGGTCTTAACCAGGTCTTTAAATTACCATAGCTTTTGGCTTAAAATTAGATAGACAGGTACCCTAAAAATTATTTGAAACAAAGTAATTTTGATTCAAACTTGTTTTTTATATAAAGCTTGAGCAGATGGAATATTCAAATAAAGACATAATGGAAAAAATAATTATTTTTACGTTACTCTTTATCTAATTTGCCTAAATTATGTTCATAAAAAAATGTCTATATTAATTTCAGCATTCTTAAAAACTAGTAGAAAACTGTTAAGACATTCGCAATAATGTACATATGTAAATACATACATACATATACATACATATATGTATGTATCTCTCAGTTTGAAATACAATTACAGCATGGTACTTTTAAATAATTTCAAAATATATAGTTTTTAGGCTCCTTCAACAAATAAGATCTTATTAATTACAACACATAAAAGTAAAGAGTTTTATAGTATTTATAAATTGTTATTTATATTTGTCAATACTTGGTTATTGTAAAAAGAGCACCTATTTTTTTTTCTAAAATAAGCCTTCAACTAAAGTGAAAAAACTAATGGCTTATATATTGACATCTGAAAGTAGAAAAGTAAATGTTATTAATAGATGCGGTAGTGGTGTAGTGGTAGAGCGCTCGCTTCATAAACAAGTGGTTCCGAGTTCGATCCCCACCACGTCCCTGGTAGTACCACGCTCAACTCGTTTCTCCGCGCAGCGGCCTTGTTCGTCAAGGATCGTGTTTCGGAGTTATAGAGTTGAGAGAGGGTTACAGCCACAAATAAGTAGTCTCCTCGTCTGTAGTGGCCTTCTCGGCCTTGAGGAGGTGAATTAAAATAAAAAATAAAAAAAAAAAAAAAAAAGTTTACAATATTACTTTTATTTAAGCAAATTATTTTCATTCTACATTTAGTGTGTGTGTGTGTGTGTGTGTGTGTGTGTGTGTGTGTGTGTGTGTGTGTGTGTGTGTGTGTGTGTGTGTGTGTGTGTGTGTATATATATATATATATATATATATATATATATATATATATATATACACTAAATGTAGAATGAAAATAACTTGCTTAAATATATATATATATATATATATATATATATATATATATATATATATATATATATATATATATATATATATACATATATATATATATATATATATATATATATATATATATATATATATATATATATATATATATATATATATATATATATATATATCATGCTGGTCATATTTTTAGTCATATTTTAAACTTATAAAAAAAAAGAGCAAGATGTTTTGAATTAACCTAAGATATCTTGTTTCCACCACAAAACAATCTACTGAACCAGTTACTTAAAACCACTCAAGTAGCTGTTAAATTGATGACAATGTGAAAAAAAAAAAAATAAGTACAAATATTTACGTGGGTGAAAAACATGAAATAATTATACAACTACTAAATAAAAATCAATTGAAAAATTTTTAATTTTGTCTTGTTATCACCACACTTGACCATATAAATATTTTATATATTAAGTACCTAGTGCATCCGTTCTACAAATAACTTGGGACAATGGAGACATATCATCCTTTCTAATGCAGAAGATTCCATCTAACCTAAAAAGAAAAAAAAAAAAACTTAAACTTCTCAGATAAAGAAAAATCAGATTTTTTATTCATGCAATAGAGATAAAAAAATTAAAAAAAATCGGATACACATAACAAGATATAACTTATAATTATAAAACTTAGTTAAATGTTTCTCTGGTAAAATAGTATCATATTTTTATAGTATTATATTTTTATTATTTGTATATTATTAGTATTATTTGAACATAAGTTTTATATTGAATATAAGTTTGTTTTAAACTTAATTTTAAGGCTTTCTATTGTTTAATAACATAAGATTTTTTAATCCAACAGAAATATAAACTGTACATAGTCAGGGTCAATATAACCCTAAGTTTGTATATATATAAAATCTAAATTAATTCTTCATTAATTAATATATTTAATACAATTGTATATATAAAAAATCTTTTCATTATTTATAACTTATTACATTATAGATTAGATATATAAAAATACAAAAACGTGTTTTTCATCGAAACCTTAACTGTTTGTTTACAAATATTTATAATGATGTCATTACTAGACGCTTAATGCAGAAGAATGATGATTTTTTTTTTTTTTCCATGGTGGTCTTATTTCAATTGGTGGGACTTTATAACTTACATATTTTGATTACAACAATGCATTAATAAATACAACAAATATGATAACAACAATATATCGGTTGAACACAATGAAATTCAAAGCCCTTTAATTGTTAATTATGCAAAAAACTACTTAACACTGCTCAGGACAATTTGGAGGATTTGCTTCCTTAGGAACAAATTCGATGCCATCTTGTTCATGCCATTCTAGAGACATCTTGGAGTAGTGAATTGTAGCCAAATCATGTCAAAATATTGTGGGAATTTTATGCTTTTTAATAAATGGCAAAAAGTTTTTTTTTAAGGCAATCTTTTATATAAATCTGCGTTCAAAGTTTTACGAGTAATATGGTGTAATTTTTAAACCACAGGAGCAGATTGCTTGCCAAATAAGGAACTTGGGAGCAAATTTTTCAGTTTAAACATACATGAATTTTTTGGCAACATATCTACCTTTTAACTGATAAAAATATTGCTGCTCTGGCAATTGTGAAAAGTCCTTTTTGCAATAGGTTTCATCATCTTCAATTATGCACAAGTTTTCTTGGTTTAAAAGTTTATATAGCTTTTTTGAAAAATGATTTGCTTTAATCTCTCCATCAATGGGTTGCTTTAGAGTTTTCTTTAATCTCTCCATCAATGGGTTGCTTTAGAGTTTTCTTTTTATACGCTTTATATTCTTGAGATCTAAGTACTTTTCCTATCAAAACTTTTTTTTTCTTGCAAGATCTCTGTGACTGACATGAATTTGTCTTTATAAAGTGAATAATTGATTTTGCTTTATATTTATCTTTAAATCTTTTCTTTTTTCCACTTCTGGCTTCTCTTTCAATAAATTGAGTCTGTTTATATCGCCACAAAATAAATCTAACTGATGATCAAAAAAAACAGGTAAATTTTTAAATGTCAACTTGTGACAATAAAGGATTTAAATTTTTTTAAACTTTTTTTCGATTTAATAATTGCTTACTTATTTTAATCCGATAGCAAAGATAAACAATACTTATTACCATTACAATCAAACAAAAACATATTAGCTTCTGTGTGTAAAAAAGTTTTAAGTAATTATTGATTAAAAAGTGGTGAATTTCATTGTCTTCAATCAATAGATAAAGTTAGTAAACTTCCAGGTTTTTGATCTACAGACAATTTCCAACGTTTAGAGATTTGTTAATTGTTGTTATCGTATTTGAATTTCATCGTGTTCAATTGATATATTGTTGTTATCGTATTTGAATTTTATCGTGTTCAACCGGTATGGTCCATAATGTAAAAATGTAACAAAAACAATTGATAAACAATAAAAGATTCACTATTAATGAGGATAATTGCAACAAAAATTATTAGTATCTTTAGAAATGTTTAGTGCTTGATTATATATCTATTATTATATATCATTTACAATTTATTTTATAAATTTTGGCCATTTAATTATGATAAGCTTTTTTCTTAAGGTATTAAGGTTCTTTTTAAGTAAACAAAATTTAAAACAAACCTGACACTACATATCGCAATTGATTTGTAAAATTCTAAAATTGATTTTATTATGGAGAAAACTATTGAGTCATCTATTGATGCTTGTAGATCAGCATATACACTTATTAACTTCTCAAGAATGCCATTGCAGACTAAATAGCTATAAATTAAAAACAAAATAACTAAATTACTAATTTTAAATTACTTAAATATAACAACAAAAAAATGTCACTAAAATTTGCTATAAAAAAAAGATAAAAAATTTAACCTAATTAAGTCTGTTAATCTTTGTGAAACATCGCTTGCTTTGTTTTCACATGGCCATACTGGGGCAAATGGAGATATAATGGTTGCAATTGTCTCCATTATGGCAGTAGGCAACAAAAAGTCAGATTCAAGTAATTGCAAAGTTGATAATTCTGCAATATTCTGACTGTTATTTTGTTCATTAACATTTTTGGTTTTCTAGAAGAAAAAAAAAACTATTCAACCCTTGAGCTGAGCAAAAAAAAAAAAAAAAAAAAAAAAAAAAAAAAAAAAAAAAAAAAAAAAAAAAAAAAAAAAAAAAAAAAAACCAGACAAAATACGATTGAATGACTAAATGATTAAAACAAACACAAAAAGTTTTTGAAGATATTAGAAAAAAGAATAATGTGTTAATCAATTTAAAATAAACATACATTGAGTGCAAAGGACAGCAGATCCACTAATATGCTTAGCTTGTTACCAAGCAACATGAAGTGACAGTTTTCAAAGCAGCCTATACATGCAACTTTAATTGTTTTAATAGCATGTATTATAGTCCTGAAAATGAATTTGTATAATTTTAATATAGATTAAATTGCAAATTGTTTGAGTTGCATATATGCAACTCAAACAATTTGAGGTCGGCAATAAATTGCTGATATATATATATATATATATATATATATATATATATATATATATATATATATATTATATATAACTATCTAGCATATGTATTATGTGATTGTAGGGCACGTTGTTAGAGTCCTTCATATTTTATGGACCTGTATGTCCTTTAGAACATGTATGACTGTTCTAACAAATTTTAATCTAATCTAATCTAAAATTTAGAATCAGGTTTTTTTTATGGATTTTTTATGGAAGTCATCTGCTCAAAAACTTTTAGCTAGGATCTGATTTTACATTTCAGCAAGATAACTATCTCAAACACACTGCCACTAAAACCAAGGAGTGGTTTGCTGAAAATAATGTTGAGGTCTCAGAATGGTCTGCACAATCACTGGACCTTAACCTCATTGAACGTTATTGGAAAATTTTAGACTGAAAAATTGGAGATTAGTCATTTTCCAAAAAAGATAACCACGTATAAGTGGTTATCTTTTTTGGAAAATTGAAGAAGCCTGTGAAAAGATTCAACCAGAAGAAACAAAATCTGTAGACGAATCAATGCCTAGACATCTAGAAGCTGTAATCCAAGCAAAGGGAGGCCCTACAAATTATTAAAATAATTATTTTGTTATTTAATAATTTATTATGAAACAAAAAATGTGTTTGGTCGAAGATTTTTTGACAATAAAAAAACGACATAAGTTACTTTATTTTAAGACTGAAAACTTTGTGATTCATATTTTACACTAAAATAAATAAAATCTATTTAAAAACATCTTCTATTTTTATTAATCTTGAGTTTACCAAAAAAGTCGAAATTTACAAAAACTTTTTTTTAGGAAAAATATTTAAAAAAATGTTTGGTCGGATAATTTTTGAAACACTGTATTTCACTGGTTAATGGTCCAAGTAGTTTTTGCTTAACAATAATGTTGAAGGCAGCACTTAGATCAAGTAACACTAGTACTGAAGGTGTATGTTTATCAATGAGTTTACATATATCATTGGTAAGCTTAAGTAAAAGTGTTTCAGTTAAGTAATATTTTTTGTATCCGTTTGATGTTCTATATGAAGATTGTTCGTTGTTCAGTGTCTGTGGCAAAGTATAACTTCTTTATTATTGGAAGTAATGTAGCACTTTTTAGACAATCCATGCTGCTTGATACTAGCGATAGGTTTACTATTTCAACCCATATGTATAAATGTGCAACCCATATGTACAAATGTAAATTATTCAGTAGTAGATATGCTGGAATCAGATCATCAGGAGAACATTTTACTCCAAATGATATGCTGATTTGGAGTAAAATGGAGCATGTCTTTGGGTCAAAAATTCTTAAAAAGTGCCCATTATAATCCGATGTGTTTTTCTTTGCTTGGGATATTTAAAGACCAGACCTGAGTTTTCTGATTTTTTCAGTAAAATAATTGTTTAAGTTGTTAGTGAGTTCTACATTTGAATCGGCTGTTGGTAATACATATTCTTACGTTTTATCTAGTAGCTTGTTTACCAATGAGAATAGATTTTTACTTGTAGTGTTTTTATGTAATAGGTTAGAGAAATATGTTTTTTTTTTATATAAGTAGTTATTGCTGTTTTTTTCCTGAGGCATCTATATTCTTTTTTGTCACTATTATTTTTTGTTCTCCTAAACAATTTTTCTGCTCTTCTTCGTTTTTGCCTAAGTTGCATATATTCTCTGTCAAACTAAGGAGCTGTTTTGACTATTTTTATTCTTTTTTTTTTTAATGTTTTTGCATTATCTCTTTCATTATTTGCTTATATGGTTATTTTGTCTTTCATATTTTCAGCTGATGATATTTCTGGTTTATTTCTTGATATTTCATTGTTAAAGGACCTTATGTCCATTATTTTTAAATTCCTGTATATATATACCTTATGTCCATTATTTTTTTTTTTTTTTTATTTTAATTCACCTCCTCAAGGCCGAGAAGGCCACTACAGACGAGGAGGCTACTTAATTATGGTTATAACCCTCTCTCAACTCTATAACTCCGAAACACGAACCTTGACGAGCAAGGCCGCTGGACAGAGAAACAAGTTGAGCGCGGTACTACCAAGGACATGGTGGGGATCGAACTCGGAACCACTCGTTTATGAAGCGAGCGCTCTACCACTACACCACTACCACTATAAAAATTATACCTAACTATATAGGAATTTTTAAATTCCTATATAGTTAGGTATAATTTTTTCTATTTTTTATTCTACTTTAAAATCTATGAGAAAATGATCACTCAAATCTAAGTCTGTTACAGCAAACATAACTACTGATATTTCATCTGGCCTGTTAATTACAACATCTAGTATGTGTCCCATTTTATGAGTTGGTTCTTTGACATGTTGCATTAGATTTAGTACATCTAGCATTTTTCTGAAGCTTTTGCTAAATAGTTCTTTAGTATTTAAGTGTATGTTTATATAACTTGCTATATATATTTTATCACCTGTTTTATAATATATTTTATATATTATAAAACTGTTTATATCACCAGCTATAATATATTTGCAACCTGTTGATACTATTGCTTCAAGTAAATCCATAAACTCATCCAAAATCCAAAAATGTTATATGATAGACAAATAATAGTCCATAAATGCAAACTAAAATTAGTGACCTTTTGGCTACCGTAACTTTAACACATGTTCAAAACAGTGAAATTGTTTATGTGGTAGCTGATTGTATCTAATTAATTGCTTTAACATTTTTTGTACTTAATTGATTGTTTTAACATAATTTTGACCCCTCCACCTTTTTCTTTATCTCTTTCTTCTCATTATTCACGGTTTGTAAATTTAGGACCCTAATATCAATGAAATACCCTATGAAAAGCCTTTTAAGGGGGGATAGTACATGCCAATGGGAGTCTATATTGAGTTGTTTTGAAATCGGGGATTAACATCAAAAAGAATTATTTGATCATGAAGGTTTTTTAAAAGGGTTGATTTATGAGCCAAATTAAGCTGCCTATTAATAGTGCCTATTAATGGTACTAAACTTGCTCCCTTAATTTTTTTTATAAAATAAAGATTGTAGCCCATGAAACGTAAAATGTTTATTATTTTATTCATTTTTTTTGAAATAATTCTTTATTGAGCGTTTTGATCAGTGCAAGCGTAAATTCGAACTTTCGAAACTAACGAAAAGAGTAAATAAATATATTCTGGGAAAAGGCAGTACACTTTAAGATAGTTTTTGAAGGAAAACATATTTTTTTGTGAACAAATATTTAATAATTTAAAGATGCCTACATTTGCCAAAAACCATGGAGAATGTAGAAAATCTGTTTGTGTTATCTGTATGAAGAAAGGTGATCAAGAATTGACTGAAAACTTCAAAGCTAAAATTCTTCAACAAATTCAGAAAGAAATCAACTTCAATGATGACAGAGTACCATTGGCGACCTGCATCTCCTGCAGATCTCACATTGGAAAGCTGTGTGATGGTAAAACAAATGTTGTGCCTCAGATTTATGACTTTGAATCAATTTCGATCAAGCCTCTTACTCGTTTTTCTACAGTCTGTGAGTGCTTGATTTGTAAGATTGCCAAACTCAAGGGAAAAGAAAGGCATCCATTAAGCAAGGTTCAAGATTCAGCACCAAAAATTCCCCAACAATCTTCGCAAAATGCAGAAAAGCATTGTACTAAGTGCTTGTCAGTTATTGGTTGTGGGCTTCCTCACTACTGCACTCCTGGAACACGCCATGAAAATTTGAGAATGGCTGCCTCTGATCCCATTGGTGCAGAGCAAGTTGCAGCAACAGTTTTGGCATCAAAAAGTGCATCTCCTCATGGCACCATCAGACTCAGTCAACCTTGTGGAAAGTTATTGCCATTGAGAAAAGGTAATAGTGCTTTTGAACTTTAAATGATTAAATTAAAATATAAATATTATCTATTTATTTTTCAAAAACTTACTTAATTTAAAAATAAAATTTTCTCTGCAAATATATTTGCAATGGATGAGAAAACTTGGATCGGCACTAAATCAAATCAGTCCTATCAAATTGGTGGAGCCAAGTTTTCAGCAAAAATTCGCTCAAGCAGGCCAAAAACTTTGTGATCACTTCACTGTGAGCAGCATCACTCTTGCTGAAAACAATCAAATATCCCAAGTTGTGCATTGTCAAAACCTCAGTAGTCTTAGTGATGTCTTCTTAGCATCAAGAAAGATGACAGATTCTGCAATTTTGAAACTAGGGATTGATGGTGGAGAATCTTTTTTGAAAGTCAGCTTCACACACATCATTGTGGATGAAGGTGAGACACCGCCACATAGCCCACTACAGAAAACAATCAAATTGATGTCTCCACAAACAACTAAATCAACAAGTGTCAAGCAGCAACTACTGGTAGCAATTGCACAAAACACTCCAGAGAACTACCATAATGTGAAGGCAATTTTTGACCTCATTCAAGTACAAGAGAAATGTCAGATGGATTCTCTGGTCATATCATGTGACCTAAAGTTGGCAAATATTCTGTGAGGCATTCAATCCCATAGCAGCAAACACCCATGTTGTTGGTGTGATGTTTTGTCTTTAAACCTCCAAAACTGTGGAAGTCCTCGAACTTTTGGCAAGATTAGGAGACAACATTTTGAATTCATCAACGCAGGAGGAGATACAAGAAAATCAAAGGAGTTCAAAAATGTCATTCACGTACCATTGGTTGATTTTCCTGATCACAAGCTTGTGCTTGAAGCTATCCCTCCAATGGAGCTCCATTTGTTACTTGGAGTAGTAAACCATTTGTATAAAAATCTTTGCAAAATTTGGCCAGGGGCTGAGAAATGGCCAGCTTCACTCCATATTCCTATTCAGCCCTACCATGGTGGACATTTCAATGGGAATGACTGCATGAAGCTCTTGAGAGGCACTTGCACTATTTAAGGATGTGGTCA